AACAAACAAAAATTCATGCATTCATTCTCCTTAAGAATGTGAACATGGACAAGACTGAATGGAACATCAAGGTTCGTGTTGTAAGATGCTACGAGCGTACAACATTTGGGGATCGCTCTACAGTTTTGGGTCTTGAAGTAATACTTCATGATTCTGAGGTAAATCGATTTTAATATTCATATTGAATATAATACTTTTTCCCTTATAATTGATTTTTTATAATTTTTTTTTTTTATTTGTTAATTTCAGGGGTACTGTATTCATGCTTCTATCACGAAGTTTGATATGGAGATTTTTAGGTGCCATCTGAAGGAAGGAAGTGTTATTGCAATCTGGGACTCCATTGTAGCTCCAAACGGTGGTAGGTATAAGACAATAATAGGAAGGTACAAAATTGCTTTTCATGGCCGCACTCGGGTGGTGAGACTCTCCGAAGATAGGTTTCCAAAATTCTTCTACAATTTCACGAGCTTTTTTGAGTTGGCTAAATAAACCTTTTTCGACCCTATTCTCATCGGTACAATTTTTATTCATTCGTACTTAAATAAATCTTTAATTCTTATTTTAATACATGTTTTAATATTTGTTGTACTATTTGCAGATGTTATTGGACGAGTAGTCGGTATAAACAAACCGCAGACAAGGACTTTTGACAACAGAACAACACGTTTTGCCGAAATAACTTTGGAGGACGTCGAGTAATTTTTATATATCTATAACAATAAAATGTTTCTGTTTTGCAGTTGTTTTCATTTAAATTTTGATATAACAATAACAATACAATGTTTATATTTTGTAAGTGGCTTTTCATTTAAATTATAATTTATTTTAATTTTGTACTTTATTTTTATTTATTAGTTTTATATTTTGCAGTCGAAACAAACTATCTTGCACATTGTGGAAAGAAAAGGTTGATGAAATAGTGCCCTCCATACTAAACCGTGATATCGGACCTCTTGTGGTTATTTTACAGTTTTTTCGTGCCAAAGTTGTTGGAGGTAAATTTAATACTACTAATTTGTTTGTATTTACTTTTACATTTCAAAATTTTCAATTTCTTGATAAAAGTATGATCTTTTTTTTTACTATTTGCAGCATCAGTGAAGGTTTCAAACACCTTTGATATCACAAAGTTAATTTTCGATCAGTCTGCAGATGAGATAAAAGAGTTTGTTGCAGCGTGAAGTTGTTTATACAATTCACATATCGTTTATTATTTATTATTGATGTCAGTATATGAATAATGTCATTTTTATTTTAATCGGTTATTGTGTACTGTCTTTTTATATTTTTTATTTTTTTACAAAATGTTGAAGTTATGGAGGATGTGCTGAAATTGCGGGTTCAATACGAGAAGTCAATGCTCCGCTGGTTATCACTGACAATGTGGAAACAGAAAACATTTCAGTCAAGACTATCGATTACCTTTACAAGTGTGGTCAAGTGAGTAAACAAAAAAATTATTATAAGATTACCTAATTATTCAATTACATTAGATTAGATTGTGTTACATTAATATTAATATCATAATTATATTTATAATATATGTATATTGCAAATTGTAAATATACTGATAACACATACAGGTTGGCAGTTATTGGATCTGCGCGCTCATTGAGTCGCTCACTGGTGACTACTGGTACCAATCATGTTGCAAATGTCCCAAAAAATTAACTTCGACTGGGAAAAAATTTTATTGTGAAAAATGTGACGACTTTTTTGACGATGGTGTTTTGAAGTAAGTTTTAAATTAATTTTTTTAAATTTATAAATTTATTTTTTAAAAATAAACGCGTCAAATGATACCTATGAGGACAAAAATAATAATTATTTAAGAATTAATGCGTTTAATTTTATGATTTATGCGTATCTGTAATGCCCCGAACTCGTGTCATTCATTTTATGCATATTTAGTATTTTTCATGATTAATTAATTAATGTTAATGTTAATGTTAATGTTATTTTAGTTTATTGTTGAGCTTGATTTTTATGTATCGATTAAGTGAGTGTCCACACTCATTAATCATAAATATTGATAATTGGAAAAATTATTTAGATGTCCTCATCTATTTAATTTTCCTAAGTATTAAATAGTCATAATATTAATATAATTTTTATTATATTAATGGGATAGATCAATTAATTAATTAAAACCTTAGCAGTAATTAGCAGGAGTATTAATCTAAGATTTTGAGCATGCCCTAAGGGGAGGAAAAAAACGTGAGAAGTGAGAAAAGATAAGAGAGAAAAATCTTGTCTTGATCACCAAACCAAAAAGAATCTCACACACATGGAAATATGAATCCTTTTTCTATTCCAAGTCTTATAAACCCAACTTTATAAATATATTCCCTCATGAGATTTATTTTTCCCTACGCTAATTATTTCACAACATCAAAAATCTCATTTTTAAAAGAAAAAGAAAAAAAAAACGCACGCACACAAGACGAAGAAAAAAAAAAGAAGAAGAGAAAACTCCATCCCTTCACACGTTCAAGCCTACCGCCAAGAGCCCGAGCTTTTTCACGAGTCATTCTTTTCTTCTTTTTCCCGAGCACGGTAAACCCTCTTTTCGATTCTTCGGCTGAATTTAATGTTCATAATATTAATAAAGCATGATAAGATATGTAAATTAACAAGAGAATTATATAAGATTTAATGATTTTCTTTTATTTAATGAAAGACCAAGTTGGATCTTGGACAATTTGATATTTTTAAAAGATCTTTAATGTCTAAGAAGTTGATAATAAGGCTTGCTTAATGAAGATTATGTGCCATGTTGAATTGAATGATTATTGATGATGATATATAGAAGTTATGCATGAAATTTCTGTTTTCGTGGCCTCTGTTGTGAGACGTTTTTGGTGACCAAGAACTCGTTTCTTGGGAATATGTTCTTCGGGTGATATGTGGAAAATTTTGTTAGGTTTCAGTAGGCTTTGGAATCTTGGGAATCGGAGTTCATATGGAGTTTATATGATTTTTACAATTCAGTTATGTGCCCAGTTTTTATGAAGTCAGGACTGAGAATATACCTTTAATGTATGACCCACTTTGATGTGTCAAACGTACTCAAATGTGAAAATGGTATTCATGAGATATGTATACATATGTGTTTAGTTTCTGTAAGGTTTGGAATTTCATGATTTTATGGCCTATAGCTCGAGATACATGAGAATTACTGAGGTTCTGTATGTAATATAAGTTGATTTCTGGCAGTTTTTGTGAACTGAATGTTTTAGAATTAAACTCGATGATAATATCATTATTTGCCAATGTGGTCTTCAGCAATGCTGTAGATAACTAAGTTGGCTGCCTTGTGGTTTTTGAATCTTATGAAAATCATGTCTGTAGCTTCAGTTATCTTGCAATTACTGAAGTCTTATCAGCTGTTTTATTTCAATCGTTGACTGCGGCTATGAATTAGATGTTTGCTATATTATGTGCATTTAAATGACCTTATCTGTTTGAGTTCTCATCATGAAAGTTGTAGAGGCATGAGTTAAGGATAATGTCCAATTGGAATCATCATTATATGACCTATGGACCGAAAGTTACATGCATTCTAAATTCATCGCGCATGCTGAAAATTGTATAAGTTCATGTTTGGAATTCCAAATTGATTATTATTGTTAAAAAAACATGTTTATGTGGCATAACTGATCCATATCATGATATTTGAAGTTTATATGACCCTTCAATGCCCTATGTGATAAATTTAAGCAAGTTAAGTTATCAACCAATCGAAAAGACTTAAACATAAACGTTTTCAAAGTATGCGAGCAAGGCGAAGCCGAGCGAGCTAGTTTTCAAAGTTCATGTATAAGTATGAGTTTAAGTTAAGCCATGATAAGATTTTAAGACATGTCCCAATGAATTGTAGTCAACGAGGAGTCGAGCCCTCGAGTTCTTTCAAGTTCAAGCCTTTAAGACGAGCATTCCGAAAAAGGTGGGGGAAGTTCTACGTTATTTATCCTTTTTGATTATCTATGTTTTGAATGAAGTTAAGTAGCTTGCATAGTACCCATGTTTATATAATGTTCCAACATTCGAGCAAGTCGTTTGTTGCAGTACCAAGGTCCACGGACTATAACTCTAGAGGGTGGCTAGGTGCTAGGGTTAGAGTATATAAGTGTGTGCATGTAACCTTCGTTGGTGCACACTTCGAACGGTTGTCCCCGTCGATAAGACTGTACTGAGCCATGATGAGGGCTGTCTTCCTTCAACCCCACGGGTGGTACTCTCGTCAAGCCTAGTTGGCCCTGCCGCGAGAGGCAATGTTCTCCCACCACCATAAAGTGGTATAAGGAGTTTGACGAGGGGTGGGAGTGTGACGATAGTGTACTCACGTGCGTGCTATGACTTTAGTGTTTAGTTGTCTAATAGGGTTGTAGTAGCAAGAAAGTCTTTCGACTTGTGAGCAACCACTCGTCGGGAGCTCATGATTATGTTGAGTATACCTAATGATTTCATGCATGATAGTTGGTTGGGATGGTAACTTAGAAGGATCTCTCACTGAGTAAGTGGAAATGCTCACACCCTATTTGTTTTCCACACCCAGGTATATGGTGAGCTGGCATTGGAGCGATGGCGAGGGTGGTCACATGGTCATAGGATTATAATATGATTTGAGTTTCTACGCTTCCGCAATTAGTTATGTTTTTATGGAATATTCATGTTTAAAGCAAAGTGTATGTCATCGATATGCAAAGTTCAATGTCAAGCCAAGGTCACATGTAAGCCCTCAAGGCATTTCCATGGAAAGTTTATCTTTTATGTCTAATGTTTTCAAAGTAAGACAAAGTCATGAGTTGTTCATGAAATGTAAGTTAAGTTTCAAATGCAAGTAAGTTTATTTTAGTAACGCCCTAAGTTTAAGTGAAGATTTCCAAGTATTGTTTCAAAGAAAAATTTATTCTGAATTTTCAATTGATTTCAATGTACGAAAAGTGGGGCGTTACAGTATCATTTATTTACAGGAATCAGATTTGATGTCCAAAATGGTGCGTGCAGAAGCGGAAAAGGAGCTTGACTATGTATGTTTATTTAACTATTTTAAATTATCTCACATTTTTATTATTCCTTTGTTTTACAATTAAGATAAGTAATTATCTATCGTAATTTATTAGGGAGAGGATGAGAATGGCGAAGAAAACAAATATGAGGATGAGGATGAAGTCCATTCACCCATAAGGAGCTCAACGATAAAAAAGATGCAACGCCTTTGAAGTATTATTGCAAAATAAGTTGTTTGGAGAATCGAGTTCAACAACACAAAAAAAGGAAAAGTTACATGATGCTGAAAAATCAGTTGAATGAGAGAAAGAAGTTAGGGGAAAATAAGGAGAGAATGAAGTTGTTGATGAGGAAAATGCCGATATGGAAGACGTTTGAAGTAGCTATTGTGTTTTGTTGAGTATCATCGTTTTCTAGATTTTTGGGATTCTATTTAATTTTAATTACGTAGCAGATTATTAATCTATGTTTATTTTTCAATTTAAGTAATCTAGGACTTGGTTTCTTTGAATTTAAGTAATTTAGGACTTTGTTTGTTTCTACTTATATATGAAATGGTGTTAGTATTTGGTATTGGTATATCGATTGTCCTCTACGTTTATTCGCTAATTAAATTTTTACTCCACAAATTTTAATTAGTAATTGTAATTATAAATCTTTATATATCTATCCATATATATATATATATATATATATATATACATTAATTTAATATATTAATTTAATCATAGTCAAATCTTTTGTATTGATCAAACTTATTGTAGATTATTGTAGATAATGAAACAAAAAATTTGTACAATGTTATCTATTTATTTATTAAAAGAATATTATGAACAATGTTTGTGTGTAATTCATTATGGATATTTTTTAAAATATTTCATATCTAATTTCATTATTATTAGATGTAATTCGCATGTAGAAAATTTAAGATCAAACAACTTATAAACTTTAGACATTTGAAAAAAAAAAATAAGACTCTTAAGTTGGAATTTCAATTGTTTTAAAAAAAATCAAGAAGTAAATGTTGGAATTTTAATTGTATAATGACATGTTTGTCAATAATTTATTCTACCGATGAGAATGTTTATAAATTAATTGTAGATCTGCAAGTTAGAATAGTTATCGAATATCATAAAGCAAAGAATTTTTTTAAAAAATGTTTAAATAAAATAAAGTATTAACACTAGTGTCACCCAGTGTTCTAAAAGTCGCTAGGCGCTCGACAGCACCTAGCACCAAGAGCGCCTAGGCGGGGCCTACAGTCAGGGCCTAGAAATCAATATTAAATACTTTTTTTTATTTATTTTAACTACCTACAAAATAAACTATCTCAACTTATAATAAATCCACGCACCTAAGCCCACATAATAATATTAATATATATTAAAGAAAACATGAGAGCAAAATAATATAATTAGTATTTAAAATAAAATAAAAATAAAATGAAAAATTACTGCCGAGCCAGCCTAGGAGCGTCTAAGTCCGCCTATGCCCATCAAGGCGCCGCCTGGCCGCCAAGCCCGCCGAGTCCGCCTAGGCGCCGCCTAGCCGCCTGGCCGATTTTTTCTGCCGATGTGTACAAATCAGAGGCGCCCGGACACAGGCGCCTAGGCGGCCGCCTAGGCCGATTTTTAGAATAGTTGTGTCACCAGTACCAATCATGTCAACATAACCTTCTCGGCTCTTCTATCACACTTTAAAAATAAGAGGGACACTATTTGGTCCA